ACCCACTGAAGGAAGGAATCGGGTTCCTCGTTTGCGTGTTGGCGGTTAGCTCGTTCGGTGTACCACCAACGAGGGGCGCCTTCCTGTAACCTGGTGCTGGCAATTGGGAGCCAGTGTGTGACAGGGATGTTGTGGAGGGAGAAGGCATCGTATAGTTTGTTGAGAAAGACGAAGACGTCCTCGTGGGGAAGGCCGGTGAAGGGGGGGACATCCATTGACCGGAAGGATGGGGGAATGTTACCCGTTAAAGGTGTTGTGGTGGCGAGGGTGTTGAAATCAAGTTTGGTTGAGGATGACGGTACCTGGGTATGGGTGGAAGTGATAGTGGATGCAGTCATGAGGGGTTTTGACTGGGAGGGAATGGTTGATGACTGTGTGACGGCGGGGGTTGTTGTCTTGGTGACCAAGGTGGAGGTAGTGGTGGATGCTGGCGGAGGTGTGGATGATATGCTAGCGGAGAGGGGGGTGGGATGGGGGAAGGGTGGTGGCACCCGAGGTGAGGGGGGGGAATGTGGTGGTGACGACCTGGATGGCGAGGGTGTGACTTTCAATGGTGGTCACAGATGTTTTGATCTCGTCCATGGATGATTGAAGGGATGTCATCATGCGGAAAAGTGCCGCGAGGTCGATGGCGGCATCGGGTTTTGGTGTTTGCTCGTCTGCGAGGTTGCCGGCGATGTTGTCGACGGAGTCGGTGCAGATGCCGAACATATCAATGCTGGATGATTGGGCCATGGTGGGGGAGGAAGCGGTGGTAGCGTTGGCTGAGGAGTTAGCAGCAGATGAGGTGGAGGAGTTAGCAGCAGATGAGGTGGAGCTTCCTATTTACAAGAGTAGAACATCATCAAGTGATTTATCAAGGAAGATAATTTCCAAAAAAATAAAATTTCCAAAACGAGAATTAAAATAAATTAATTCCGATTCGAACTAGGCTACCAAAGTGGCCCGGGGTCACTTGCCCGGCCGGGCCAAAAGAAATTAAAATAATAAAAATAAAATAA